AAGACCTGCAAAATATATAAAACACACATTAACAAAGTTGAAAAAGGAGATAGATAACACTACTATAGTACTTGGAGACTTCAATACACCCCTTTCAAGAAAAGATAGAACTACCAAAAAGAATCTCAACAAAGATACTCAAGAATTAAACCACACAATTAACCAACTTGATCTTATAGATATTTATAGGCTAATGCACTGAAAAAAAAGCACAATACACCTTCTTTTCCAATGTGCAAGAAACATTCTCCAGAATATACCACATTCTAGGTCAAGCATCAACAAATTCAAAAACATAGAAGTTATACAAAGTGTCTTCTCAGATCACAACACCACAAAATTAGAAATTAATAACAAGAGAATAAAGGAGAAAAAAATCGTACATTTGGAAGCTGAACAACAACTTGCTTGAACACGACTGGGTACAAGAAGAAATAAAAGTTTCTTGAAACAAACGACAATGAGGACACTACTTACCAAAAACCTCTGGGAAACAGCCAAAGCCGTAATCAGAGGTCAATTTATACCAATTAGCAAACACATCAAAAGGCAGGAAAAACTGACCATTAACTCTATAACCCAACATCTTCAACAAATTGAAAAAGAAAAACAAGAAAACCCATCAGTTTCTAAAAAAACTTAAATTATATAAATTAGAGCAGAGATAAATGAAATAGAAAATAAAAAAACAATTGAAAGTATCAACAAAACAAGCAGTTGGTTCTTTGAAAAGGTCAATAAAATCGACAAACCACTAGCAAAACTCACAAAAGAAAAGGAGAAGACACAAATAATCCGAATAAGAGATGAATCAGGCAACATCAAAACGGACCCAACTAAAATTAAAACGTTAACATTAGAATATTATGAAAAACTATACTCAAACAAATATGAAAGCCTTGAGGAAATGGACAAATATCTAGAAATGCACAATCTACCTAAACTGACACAAACTGAAATTGAACATCTCAACCGATCCATTACAAAAGAAGAAATTGAAAAGATAATACAACCGCTTCGAACCAAAAAAAGCCCTGGACCAGACGGATTTACAAGTGAATTTTATCAAACATTCAGAGAACTGTCACCAATAACATATAAACTATTTCAAAAAATAGAACAAGATGGAACACTCCCAGACTCATTCTA